GACGGATGTATCACCACCTCAATCAAAACACGAACCTTGACGGATGTATCAACCTCTACAATGTTGCGTATATGATGAGCAATAAACTTAGATTTCAAGTTAGAGTGATCCTTTGGAAGAATATCACTAACACAGTGGAAGTATGAGGACCCTTGTATGTGACAATTGTAAATTTATCGGAGACTAAAGTCTTGCGTGTAGCTCTTAACTTCCAAGAACAATTCACATGTTTCCTACCACAAATAAAGGTTATTGTGGTTGGTCTTGATTCACTCACTTTAAAACATTGATTTCTTTGTACAGAGTAACTTGTCACTGCCTCAATCATTGCATCTTTGTTTGCAAATTCTTGACCAATGCAAAATTCAACCCCTGACTTGTAAGAAGCCACGAAAACCCATGACACCCACTTATTAACTTCATCTTCGTCAATTTCGTTAATTTGTGTAAACTCAGGGACTGGAGCACTAGAAAATACTACGTCACTCTGCTTATCTTCGTTACTTTCGGCAATTATGTCACCCTTATTCACCATATTTAATTCCTCATTAGCTTCATCACCTTCTCTATCACCCTCCTCGACGTCAATATCATTATAAGTGAGAGATGTATAGTGAGAGATGTATGAGCATTAGTAACTTGATCAAAAAAATATTGGTCATTTGAGAACAACCTAGTATATGTACTATTTGGTGGATTTTCAAATGACATTTTTCTACAAATTAGAGTAAGAAAAATTACTATATAATCATACATATAAAAAATATATATATATAAAAAAATCAATCAAACTAGCTACTCCCAAAACTCAATAAATCTAATGTCGTCTACTCCTTTTCACAGTACAATTAGTCGTTAATATTGTAGGCATTATTTAATCAAAGCTAAATCAATTATATCATAATAAGCAATAACCCTTGGATTAAGTAGTAAAGATATACATACAATTGTATATTAAGTATTGTGACTCTGAGCACTTGTAAGTGGTGCATGTCTGACATATACAATTGCAAAGTCTAATTCACCTACCTTATATGAGTATATTCAGACGATACTCACGAATAATTTTTCATAATTAGGTTAGATTTTACCAATTTACATTGTTCCGTTAAAGTTTAATCTACTTGTTATATATGCCCATAGAAATAATAGTGATGCCAGAGATTGACTATACTTCCTTGCAGATCTTGCATCTACCATCAACGTCTATAACAATAGTGAAGTAAAACCTAAGAGAACTAGTTTTGCCCGTTAAAAAAAAAAAAAAAAAAAAAAAAAAAGCTAGTTTTGAGGCTCTAATTTTTAATTTAGACCATTAAAACAAAGCAATACTATTTACTCCTTGCTTTGTAATTTCCGAACCTACATGGACACTACTTTGAGAAATATTTTTAAGTGAACACTATTTTAGTAATTTATTTATTTTTTAACACCAATCTGACAAATCGTTTCAATTACTTGTATATAAGTTAAAGTGTTAGATATAATTGTAGAATAAACTTTTATAAACCTGCCAAAACTAACATTTCATCTAACTTTGAAATTTTGGGTTAGTTACCTCTACCACAAGCATGATGGTAAGGAAAGTATATTAGAATAAAGGAAAAAGAGAATACTAAAAGTTTATGTATCTTGATAGTGTTTAAATATTCATAAAAAGTTAAAAACAATAAGTGACAATAATTATTGTAAATAGTAATGAGTTTTACCTTTTTTTTTTTACTCCCTCCGTTTCTAAATTAGAAGTCTATTTTTCTTTATTATGTGTGTAATAAATATTAGAAATAGACATTTAATAAAGGGACGGAGGGAATAGTGTTTTAGCTAGTCATGTTATCATGGTGTATATATAGAAATTTATTGTGTTTTTCTACTTTATTTGTTCAATGCAAAGAGATAGGCAAGTAACTAGTTTAACCATCATAAGATCACTAAGAAAAATCAATGATATCTATATCAACATCTCAATGTTCAAATTACGTTAGATGAAATAAGTCCAAATAATTTAAGATAAAATTAACTTTTGCTTCAAACTCACTTCTATTTAACACAACCTATAGTAAATATAAATATGTTACTTCGTACAATGTAAATTCAATTAATAACTCAATATCAATACTGTAATTTAATATTACACCGTTATTTTTATATGCTTAATACTCGGTACTACGTATATCCCTAATTATTTTTGTTAAAACAAATTAGTAATTGAAATCCAAAAATCTAAAATCATCGAATACAACAAACACTTTTATTTGGAAATTCAAAGATCTAAATTCACCATTGACAACTTTTTCTCTCCCTCACATGCTATTTATTTTTCCCCAAAACAAAAAAAAAACTCCTAGTAATCCACGAGACAAACAAACAAAAACAACCATCCATCTCATCACATCTACGAAGTATAAATAATTATTAATTAATCCTTTTCTTTTTCCAATTTTCCCCACCCAATTAAATCACTCCCTTCTCTTCATTCGAATCCAATTCCCACCACCACCACCTCAACTACAATACCTCCATTTTCTCTCTCCTCCTCCATTAATGGCGGCCGTTGAGAGAGACCCTCAAAACTCCTGCAACTCCCGCCATTTCTCTCTCTTCATCAAATCTTGCTGCCCAAATCCCACTAACCCTTCTCACTCCATTATCATCCCTTTACCTCCTACCAACAACAACAACAAATCCCCCAAAAATTCGATTCAAACCTCCATTTCTTCTCTTCCAGATGATCTTCTCTACGAAATCTTATCTCGAATCCCACTCTCTTCTCTTCCTGCTATCTCCGCCGTCTGCCGTCGTTGGGCCCACCTTCTTCACTCCCCCTCTTTCTCTCTCCTCCGTCGCAACCACCGTCTTCTTCACCGGACTATTTTTGCCTTTTCTACGTCTTCCGTTTCTACCCTTCGTCCTTTTGTTGATCACAAATGGAAGCTCCCTTCTCAAAACGACGGCGTTTTAGGGGGTGGTACTGGTAGTGGTGCTCATTTTCACACGGATTTCTCACACGCGCGGTTAGCTGTTATTGGGAGGAAGATTTTTATTATTACTCGGTCTAGTGCGATGGTTTTTGACCCGTGGACCGGGCTCATGAAGGTCCGGTCTGGACCGTTGGTACCGCGAAAACGGTTCGCTGCTGCGGCAGTTTGTGGGAGAATCTACATGGCAGGAGGGTCGTTAAGGGCGTCTGACGTGGAAGAGTATGACCCCCACGCGGATGAGTGGCGCGTAGTGGCTCACGCGCCGAGGAGGAGGTATGGGTGTGTTGGTGTTGGGGTGGATGGCGTGTTTTACGTCATTGGTGGGTTGATGATTGGTGGCGCGTCGGAATTACGCGCGGCTGAGGCGCGTGTTTGTGCTAGCTCGATGGATTTGTATGATGTGGCGGCGCGTGGGTGGTTGAGGAGCCGGGCGGTTCCCGGAGGTGGGTGTGTCGTGGCGGCTTGCGGGGCGGATGGTTGTGTTTACGTGTTGGCAAGCCATGCAGTTGAGTTGTCATTTTGGCGGTTTAATGGACGGAGGAAGGGCGAGGGTGGTGGCGGGTTTGGAGAATGGTGTCGGATGAGGAGCCCGCCACTACCGGCACAAGTCCGGCTCGACGGGACCGTGAAGTTTAGTTGTGTAGGGGTGGAGGATAAGGTGGTGTTGATCCAAGTGATGGGGTGTATAGATGATTTATTGAGGAGAAGTGGGAGGAATGTGAGAGGATATAAAGAAGGGATTGTGTTGATATTTGATTGTGTGACTGAGGAGTGGAGTAGAGGGCCTGATTTACCTGAATTGGTTCAAAGGGCAGCTTGTGTTTGTGTTGAATGTTGATTAAATTATAAAATCTAGTACTAATTACATAAATTCTATGTTAAATTATGTACAATAAATGTGTGTAGTACTAATTCTTGATCATTTTTGGTAACCGATTGATGATGTTACTACTGTTTTTCCATTTATAGAGAGAAATTTGGAAGTTTATTGTAACTTGTAAGAATTGAATCTAGGGTTACAGTTTTATACCATTGGTTGATTTGGTATTAAGTGTTAATGTTGATTAATGGAACTTAAGTAGAGGTTATTTCCATTTTAACACCTTCGGTATAATTAAACACTGTCATTTCCCGTAGCTTATTTGCACAATAAAATATGGAGTGACGTGTTTTACTCTCCGATGTAGATTTTATAAGTTGTTGACTGAATGCTATTTTATGTAAGCTATGTTTATGATAAAAGTGCTTAGTACAACTAAATGAACTATTGCAATTAAAGTATGCTTGATATACTAAAACAGCTTTTGCATTATTGCGAAAAGGTATATCCAAATGGACGAAATGCCCACTATAATGAGTAATTATTAGCCACTATGATGAGTAATTATTAATTCATTTCATGATACGTTAATAGGTCATCTTTAGAATTGCATAAAAACAAAAACAATATACTTGTATATATCATTGAAGGAGTGATAATGTGATGTACTCCGTATTACGGAGTATGTAGTATGTACTTTCGTAGCAATATCTACATTGCCAGACTCAAAGTTAAAGAACCACTTGTTACGGAATATGGATTTCTATTTTTAGGGCCTATCTGTTCAGCTTAATTTCAGTTCAATTCAGTTTATAATTTCCTTTCAGCTCAGCTTAGCCCTAATCAGTCCAGTTCAGTTGTTTTCAGTAAATCGGAACAAACTCTTAACACTGAGAACAAACAATTAGGCTTTACCATTATATTGTCAAAAATTGCATTTTTTATATCTAAAACCCAAGTTCCAATCAACAAAAATTGTGCTAGCCCAACCTCACTCAACTTCTCATTACACCACGTGACTCTCCCCTCTACGCCACGTATAAGATTTGAACATACAACCTCTAATTCTAGAACTAAGTGTCTTACCACCAATCCATGAGATATTTCATATTGTATCATTTCATTTGAATACAAAATATTAATATGAAGCGAATGATTATATGATAACAAATTTAATAATCCGAGCGACCTAAATACTAGTTCTAACTTCTAATAAATTGAAATTATGTAGATAGTTTTATTTGTTTTTTTTTCTTGAAATTAATAGTCTCTTTTAATGCAATTTTTGACAATTTATCTCAAATTACCCTTAATAAAAGTAGCAAAGCCGAACCAATTTTAGATTACTAAAGATCAATAACCTTATTTAACTCGACAAATTCTCTAATCAAACCTTACAATTACAAATCAAACTCGCACAACCTGAACACCAAACCTTCGGGGTGGGATCGTGAATTCATTAATCAACATTCGCATCATCATCTTCGATAAAAATCGAAACTTTCAATTGAAAAATCGAAAAACCCTTGTTCATCTCTCTCATAAATTCTCCTCCATTTTTGAAGAAACCTCAGAACAACAACAATAACAACAACCATGGATTTCCAGGTGGTTGTGCTAGCTGGTGGCACTTCCAAAAACCTTGCCCCTCTTGTTTCCAAGGTTTTTTCAATAAACCCCTTTTCTTTTAATCCCAAATTTTGCCTTTTAATTTGATTCATTTCTCATTTTTTATCTGTAAATTCGATTTCAGGAGGTACCCAAAGCATTGCTCCCAGTTGGGAATCGCCCAGTAGTTTCTTATGTATTGGACCTTTTGGAACAAAGCAATCTCAAGGATATTATTGTGGTTTGTTTTTATAACTTTAATTGATTGATTGATTGTTTGTTTTCAAAATTAATTGGGGAAATTGGCAAAATTGGCGAAATTGGGGTTTGCAAAATGTTTGGTTTTGTATTTTGTCTTTACTTTGATTATAATGATTGGGTAATTTTGTATATTTCAGGTGGTTGGAGGTGCAGATGCTGCTGTTAAAGTTGGTGGATGGATTTCGAGTGCGTATGTTGATCGTCTTCGTGTCGAGGTTAATTTCGAATCCTACATTTCATAGGTGTAATGATTTCTGGGTTTTGTTCATGTTTGCCTGTGATTATGCTACTTTAGACAGTTTGTACTTTGTAGTGTTGCAAACTGGTGGAAGCTTTATGTGAATGAATGAAGTAGCTTTAATAGTTCTGTGTTAATTTTCAGTTTAGTGAGGTTTTGAATTTTCAATTTTAGGGTTTGACATTATTTGTTTTAGGTAACTAAGAATTCAATTCTTTGTGGATGCTTGTGAATGAATGACATTATTGGATTTATGACACATATGTTGGTAGAGAGCGATTATGCTCATCACTTAATCTTTTAAGATTAATGAGAGTGATAACAAGGTGCCTTTTGACGTACTCGGCCTGGTTCTGATGTCGAACATGATTCTAGAATCTCAGCAGTGATGGAGATATGGAGGGTAAGAGGAGGGTAGAGCATCTGCTTTATGGGTTTGGATTATTGATTACCTAGTCATAGAAGAAAAGGAAACATTTGTAATTTTACACAGTTCTGTCTTGGCTGACATAAAGGTTATAATCTTGATTCTTTTGAAGTCTAGATTTTGTGGTGCCACTTCATAGGTAAAGGACAATCAAAGCTTAGAGTGATCTTGTTGGCAATGTAAATGACTGATGCTATTTTATAAGTATAATCGTATGTGATGCATGTGAGCCATTGAGATATCTTGATTGAATGCTGTATGCAGTTAATGACGATGATGTTCATTTGAGATATCTTGGTATATGAAACCCTTCGTCATCTTTCACACAGCTGGCATATTTGGGTAAACATTGGCAATATTAACACACTGATTTCCTTTAAATCTTTGCAACAATCAAACTGCTAGCTTCAATACTCAAAACATCTCATAATATAACCTTTGCCTGATTTTTCATTTTCATTGAGTTGCAGATCTGGTTTTATGTGGGGAAAAAATTGCATAGAGATTAAAAAGAAATTGGTAGATAGAAAAAAAATATACACGTATATACTTCCTCCGTTTCTTATTAGATAACACACTTCATTTTGGCACACATATTAAGGAGTGAAAGAGAAAAGCAAAAGACAAATATACCCTTACCCACCTACCCTACTCCTTAATCAGTGAACTGAACCAGCAACCAAGGCCCACCAGGCCACCACCACCCCGGCCTTTGTCTGTACCTAAGCTGCTACCACCTCCCCATTGTCTAATTATAGCTGCCGGCCTGCCGCTACCCAATGCTGCCTAGGTTCCAGATGCATATCGCCTTAGTGCAGCCTTGAGCTTTTTTATATAATATATTGGGAAGGACCATAGCAAACATTGTACATGGGGAGACTGGTAGCTTCTCTTTGAAGGAAGTTTGATTTTTCCAGATTTTTTTTTTCGGGGGGGGGGGGATGCGGGGGTGGGGGAGAAAGGAGTAACTTTGGCAGAGGGTTGTGGATATTAGAGGGGAGGGAAAGAGAGGCGGGAATGGAAGAGGCATGTTGCTTTGTTCCTCTCTATCTCTCATGTTAGGGCAGGGGATAATAATTTGTGGGAGAAATAGGGTTGGATAGAGGCATTTACTTTCTAGAGCAGCCATCGATATCATAACCTATATAGATACAATTGTATGTTTTAGTGTATCTAATGTTGTTTGATGGTTTGATAAATGGTTTTTCTATATTCTTCTTTTCCTTTTCCCCTTCTTTTTTCTTTTGTATGGAAGAATTTTTTTTAGTAAATGACATCATTGAGTTTTCCAGCATACAGAAGGTATTACTTATTAGTAAGTAGATCACCCTGATGCCCAAAAGAAAACCTTAGTGTGGTTTTGTTTCAATTTTTCAACAAGTAGATTATGTGATATTTTGATCTTATTCAGGTTGTTGCAGTTCCAGAGGATAAAGGAACTGCTGGAGCTCTTCGTGCTATTTCACGTTACTTGACTGCCAGCGACATTTTGGTAAGCATCCTATATACTGTTTATTGGAACAGTACTATAAATTTAACTGTATTCCAGTAGTCATTAGTCTTGTGACAGTCTTTTGCTGCAGTCTGAGATCTACATTAGTTTTCTGTTGAAATGACTAATACCCTATTGTTATATTGTGTAAGGTTTTTTTGTTAGTATAATATTGTTTCCCTAATAAAAATGTTTCTGCCTAATGTTGTTAATACTTTTGTTCACTGTTTTATTTCTGAAGGTGGTAAGTGGGGACCTTGTTTGTGATGTTCCTCCGGGGGCTGTGGCAGCTGCTCATAGACGACATGATGCAGTTGTGACTGCAATGCTTTGCTCCACCCCTATTAGTGGATCTACAGAATCTGTATCGTCCAGCGGAAAGGATAAAGCAAAGAAACCAGCACGTCGTAATATTATAGGGTTGGATGTCACAAAACAATTTTTACTGCACATAGCTGCAGGTTTGAGTTTTGGATGTCTACTTGCTTGGACCAGTTATATACTAATTAGATATTGCTTTTATATTGGTTCATTAGTCCTGGGTGGTTTTTGTCAGGCACTGAGGTTAATAAAGATATGAGAGTTCAGAAGAGCATACTACGTGCAGCTGGACAGGTATTATACTTCTTTCCCTGTGAAACTGTTGGTTATTTTCTCTAAACATGTTGGCCAAGGAACCCTCAGAACTTGTTGCCTTCTTGAAGTTACAGCAAATATTTTCTGGTAATATGCATTTATTGAATTGATTCTGTCTAATACTTTTTCCTCTTCTTTCTTCCACTCTTAATAGATGGAGATCCGAACTGATCTTATGGACGCCCATTTATATGCTTTCAAGAGGTTTGCAGTTTTCATTCCTTTTCCTTTTGTCCAGGAGAAAGAGGGGGGTGGTTGTTGTTGGTGGGGGGGGGGGGGGGTGCTAGGGTTTAAATAGGTTATGTTACGTTCCTTTTAATTACTGTCCATCCATCATCTTTGCCTTGCTATTGTTGAAGATCTGTTCTTCAAGAAGTTCTTGATAAGGATCTTGACCAGAAAGAGAAATTTAGAAGCCTAAAGCAGGATGTGCTGCCCTATCTTGTCCGGACACAACTGGTGAGTGTGGTATCTGCCGTGAGATGCATGCTATTTTGTTTGTCCAGCTGTCCTAACACATGGCTGTTTGATGATACATTGTAGAGATCAGATGTTTTGGCAAATGTGACTCTACAAGCAGAAGAAAATGGGAATGGGATGCTTCCATCACATAAAAACCAAGTTATGCTGTCCCAACTTTTGGCTAATGCTTCTACCCCGAGTTTCCATGAACTGTTTGCTTTGGGCCCTAATGGTTTTGCTCGCACAGCTAGAAAAACCCACAAATGCTGTGTTTACATTGCCAGCAATGACAAGTATTGTGCACGCTTGAATTCCATTCAAGCTTACAGTGACATCAACCGCGATGTGAGACTCTATGCACCAACATATTCCATTGAATGCTTGTATAATACTATAATTTATTTATTTGTCGGTCTCTGTATTACTTATTGTTCAATGGTTTTGACATCTTTGATGATTTCAGGTCATTGGAGAGGCTAGCCATCTATCAGGGTATACATTTTCTCCTCAGCACAATAGCATTCATCCTTCTGCTGAGATTGGATCAAAGACTACAGTGAGAATGATTTTTTTTTTTCTTTTCTATTCTTCATATATATAATCGTCATTTGCTTGTACACTTATAATACTCTTTTGTGAAATTAGGTAGGACCATATTGTATAATTGGTGAAGGTTCACAAATGGGTGATAAATGTAGTGTAAAGCGATCCGTCATTGGTCGTCATTGTCGGATAGGTTCAAACGTAAAGGTATGCTTGTTTATCTTCTCAAACTGTTATTAATTGGCTGTGTTTATTTTATCACATTAGATGACTACATCCCACAAGGCCTTAACGGGAAAGTGGGGGTGAAGTGTAAGAGATGGCATGAAATGTCTTATAAGAATTCGTTGTACGTCCATATTTTTGAGTTTAAGTTGGAACAGTATGATGTTTTACATCTATTTAATCATCATAACCCTTGTCTTCTCACGAAAATGCAGATTGTGAATTCAGTGGTTTTGAACCATATTACTATCAGTGATGGCTGTTCGATCCAAAGCTCTGTTATCTGCAGTAATGTACAACTTCAAGAGCGTGCAATTTTGAAAGACTGCCAAGTAAGGGCCTTTGTCTTCTCACTTTTGTATCCCTTATCATCTACTCGTATCATACTTTCTATTGTTTGATAATTATTATTCTTTTCACGTTAAACTTTGAACTTCCCATACTATTTTGGATGGTATACTTTACCAATTTCTCTATTAACTCTGAATTTGCTGAACTTGTCTAGGTTGGAGCAGGTTATGTGGTCACTGCAGGCAGCGAAATCAAAGGGGAATCCCTGGCAAAGAAATAGATAAATGTCTCTGCCCGAGTTTTGTTTTGTTTACTTGTCTTAGAAAATTAAGACACTAGGCTGTTGCAGAGGCAAATGCGAGGGTGCTTGGTTAAATTTGTTGTATTAATAGGAAACTGAATACCAGCTAGTATCAATTTTGCTCCATAATCCACAAATTGTGCTTAGGTTTTGCTTCTATATATTAAATCATTCTTCTACCTATGTCACAGATATCTGATTTGTTTTAGGTTTTGTGACATTTTTCGCAATCTTTAAATTAGCACAACCCCATGTAATTCTTGTCCATTCTACTTGAATGAGCAAAAATTAGCTTGCAATTTTACAACCTACTTGTATGATGTGGATATCACCAATTTGCAGGGCGAAACATCACGTGTTTGTCACTCTAACTTTTACCGAGGCAATTTCGCTCATTTTCCATCCTCTCTGTTCATCTCATCCAAACCTCTCTTTTTTCTCACATTCCTAGCCCTATTGAAGTACATGAATTGAGCCTCAGCTCCACCATTGATTTTACAACTTTTTTTTTTTATTAGTAGGTCGTTTCTAAAAAAAAAAAAAAAAAAAATAGTTAGTTGATAGTTTTGTCAAATTTAATATTATATCACTAATAAATAAAGCCGGTCTTGCAGTCAGATCACGAGACAAAGACACTTGGCATTCCAGTTTTTCGCCAAGTGTCGCGCCACGTAGGAGATAAATAGGTATTATTGTGACACATATGATGCTAAGTAAGCGATTTTTGGATAAATTTTTAAAGATAAAAGTGTTATATAGAGTTTTATTATCGATAAAATTCTAATATTTCATATATACAAAATTAATCCTAACTTTTAACAAATATCTTATAACTCAATTCTATTTCCATCATCAAATTCGTTTTAAAAAGTTCTTTAAAATAAGATCCATTTATTTATATTAATATATAAAGTCGGTCTCGCAGCCAGGCCACAAGACAGTGATACTAGGCATTCAAAATGAGATCCATTAAATAAAAAATAGAAAATCAGTAAAAATAAGTTTTAATCAGGAAAAATAATTTTAGTTGGGTAAAAATACTTTCAGTTCATTAGAAATAATTTAAGCGCAATAAAAAAATTAGCAAGTTAATAATAACATAGATATCTATTTACAAATAAAACTACAAAAAGTACATTATTATATAAATAAGCGGTATGATATCGTATGTCTAAATACTTTATATTATCAAAAGGGGTTATATGATTGTATTTAAGCTGAAAAATTTAGGACAATCCGGGCATTGCCCAAGCAAAAAACTAGATTTTTTAAGATAAAATTATTGTATAGAGTTTTATTATCAATATAATTATAATATTTCATATATACAAAATTAATCATAACTTTTAATAAATATCCTATAACACAATTATATTTCCATCATCAAATTCGTTTTAAAAATTTCTTTAAAATAAGATCCATTCATAATACATTAATTTATTTTAAAAATAAATAGTGAATATTGGTAAAAAAATACTTCTCAATTCAGTAAAAGTAATTTAAGTTCAATAAAAATAATTTCAAGTTAATAATAACATAGATATATTTAATTTATTAAAAAAAAGAGAATATGTAAAAATAAGTTCTAATCAGTAAAAATAATTTTTGTTTGCTAAAAATATTTTCAGTTGTGCCAATTGACAAGTTGCATAATTAAACCTGCCCCCTTGCAAAATTAACACTTATAACTAAATTGAACATCACTTGCGGAATAAACACCAAGCCCTCCAAACGCAAATGGTAAGTAAATAAAGCCGGTCTTGCAGCCAGGCCACAAGGCAGTGACACTTGGCATTCCAGTTATTCGCCAAATGTCACGCCACATTGGCGAAAACAAGGTCTTATTGTGACACATAGGATGCTAAGTAGATAGATTTTTAAGATAAAATTGTTGTATAGAGTTTTATTGTTGATATATTTCTAATATTTTATATATTCAAAATTAATCATAACTTTTAATAAATATCCTATAACTTGGTTCTATGGCCATCATAAAATTCGTTTTAAAAAGTTTTTTAAAATAAGATCCATTCATAATTAATACATTAATTTATTTTAAAAATTAATGGTGAATATTGGTAAAAATACTTTCAGTTCAGTAAAAGTAATTTAAGTTCAATAAAAATAATTTCAAGTTAATGATAATATAGATATATTTAATTTATTAAAAAAAATAGAGAATATGTAAAAATAAGTTCTAATCAATAAAAATAAGTTTTGTTTGCTAAAAATATTTTCAGTTGTGCCAATTGATAAGTTGCATAATTAAACCTGCCCCCTTGCAAAATTAACACTTATGACTGAACTGAACATCACCTACGGAATAAACACCAAGCCTTCCAAACGCCGCAAAAAGGTGGCAAGCCGCCACTGCCAATCACCAAACCCAGGCCCCGAAGTAGTAATAATACGCTCCAAGAAAGATCGAAGAGCCTCGTCGAATGTGCGCTGAGCCGCCTCAAAAGTACTAGGAGGACAAGTACGCAATCCAAAGTAGAGTTTAGAAACTCCGGTACATGCCCTAAGTAACAATAGCTCACACTGAGGATCATCAAGCATAACAACTTTATCCATAAGCGCAATGGTCTTGGTCACCCTTTGCATAACAAGCTCACCACTAAAACCGAAATCGAAACTAGCGGGACCACCAAGCAACTTAACACCACGCAAAGGTCGAGCAATATTTGGTGGAAAGACACCCACAAGCCTGCTTCGAGGGTCTTCTATAGGCTAGAAAATTTCAGTTTTTTCCACGTTAAGATGTAACCCAAAACGAGGCCCTTCCTCCATAATCATTTGCAGAACCTTCCCCACCACCAACGTGACACCAATAATAGTGTCGTCATCCAAATACCAAGCCTGAAGACATACATCAAAAGTGTCTCTGATTTTACACACCAGGGGTTGTAAAACTAAAGCAAAAGGCAGAGGACCAAGGGGATCACCCTGCTGCACCCCCAAGACGACCATAAGGTGTGGTCCCCATAATACAATTTGGCTGGATTAGAATTGCAGAATTCAACCCATCGTATATATTTATAATAATTTTATCAACAATCTATGGAAAGTTTTTTTTTAAAAAAATCCATTTATAATATATTTAATCAAAAACTTTTATATGTAGCTGGTCAAAACGTGTCATTAACTATTAAAAGTGTTACTTCGTTTTTGCTATAGGGGATACTTGGTCAGTGTTATAGTGGTTACTCAATTAGTGTTATAGATAAAGGTTACTTAGTCAGTGTTAGAGGTTACTCAATTAGTATTACAGGGGTTACTCGGTCAGTTTTATAGGGGTTACTTTGTCCGGGCAGATGGTGTGGCTAGCTGCATACAAAATGCATTGTTATTTAATTTATTTAAAAAAAAATAGAGAATCGGTCAAAATAAATTTTAATTAGTAAAAATAATTTTAGTTTTGTAAAAATACTTACTTTCAATTCAGTGAAAATAATTTAAACTCAATAAAAGTAATTTTAAGTCAATAATAATATAGATATCTATTTACAAACAAAACTACAAAAAGTACACTATTATATAAATATAAGTCATATGATATCGTATGTCTAAATATCCTACATTATCAGAACGGATTATATGACCACATTTAACATTCAAGTAAAAATGTTATCTTAAAATTTTATCAACCATCTGGGCATTGACTTTTCAGTTTTTCACCAAGTGTTGGGTCACGCAGGCGATAAATACGTATTATTGTGACACGTATGATGCTAAGTAAGCGAATTTTGGATAAATTTTTTAATATAAAATGTTGTTTTGATTTTTATTATCGATATACTTCTAACATTTCATATATACAAAATTAATCCTAACTTTTATTAAATATCCTATAATTTGTTTTATTTCCATCATAAAATTCGTTTAAAAAATCTCTTTAAAACAAGATCCATTTATTATATATTTAATTTATTTTAAAAATAATAGAAAATTAGTAAAAATAAGTCTTAATCAGTAAAAATAATGTAAGTTTAATAAAAGTAATTTAAGTTCGGTAACAATTTCAAGTCAATAATAAAATAGATATCTATTTACAAACAAAACTACAATAAGTAAACTATTATATAATTAAGCGATATGATATCGTATGTCTAAATATTCTACATTATCAAAAGAGATTATAGAATCGTATTTAACATTCAAGCCAAAAAATAAATAAATTAAAAACTATATTTTTATGAACAATTTGGGCATCGCCCAGCAGCCAGGCCATGAAACAACGACATTTGACATTCCAATTTTTTGCCAAGTGTCGAGCCACGTAGGTGACAAATAGTTATTATTGTGATTAGATTAGATGTCATGTTAGATTAGATCGGATAGATTTGTTTAGGATAAAAAAAATATACATAAAATAATTTATAATTCTTTTGTAAAAAAATCTATCTTTTTATAATAGCAACAAACCACATATTATAATTAATATGAATATCCAATTAACAATAGAATTTTACTCCTATATGAATAAACACGTAATTATAATTATAAATATGGCCATGTATCATTAATTTTTTCGAGTCTACCATTGATTTACCATTAAAGCTTTTGAATTAGGTACTCTTCATATTCAGTTGTAATATTTTTGTGTATGTTTGTGATTTTGTTAATGAAATTAAAGAAGTCAAAACCACTAAAATTAGGACACAATAGAAATTGTACAATACAAAGGAATCTTGATCGAATTCAAATCAATGCTTGTAAGGTCTTAAAACTTTATGGGTTTTTCACTTAAAAAGCATTTCAATAATCTTTTGTTTTTTAATGCTAATCATATTATTATTATTTTCAACTTATTTTATGAACATTGGAAGCAATAAATGGTAAAAGATATTACTATCTGCATTATCAAAAGGGTTTATTTGACCATATTTAACATTCAAACCAAAGAGTTTATCCTAAAATTTTATCAACAATTCGGGCATCGCCCGAGCACAAAACTAGTATATATATAAATGGGTTTTTTTCCCAAGTTTTTAGAGAGGGATAAAAATAATTTAATTAAATATAAAATGTTATTATAAATTTTATCCAAATATATAACAAATGAGATGAAATTCACAATTTATTTTAAAATAAAATATTAAATGATATACTAAGTACAACGAAAAATAGCAAATTTTATCACATAGATACAAAAAAATTTGTTTTAAAAATACAAACAAACCAATGCATGAGCTTCATCTAGTTATTATTATTATTGTTATTATTATGGATTATTATTATGGGTAATGCTATATGCAACCCTTATTTAATATACTTCCTTTTTATAATATTATGTTGGGAATTTATCGAC